GACCGCTAGTCTTTGACTTTATTTATTTTCTGCTGTGTTTTACTTGCATCTATTTGAAAGACTGAGTGTAAACACACAAAAAAAAAATTATTTTATGTGCTGGAATGTGCAGAGTGGCTAATTATTTTTAATAGACTTCAGAGGGGGCAGCACGGTGGCTCGGTGGTTAGCACTGTTGCCTCACAGAAAGAAGTTCAATTCCAGCATCAGGCCAGGGTCTTTCTGTTAGTGGGGATTCATAGGTAACTCTAAATTGCCCATAGGTGTGAATGGTTGTCTGTCTCCGTGTGTTAGCCCTGTGACAGACTGGCGACCTGTTCAGGGTGTACCCTGGCTCTCGCCCTAAAACAGCTGGGACAGGCTCCAGCGAAGAGAATGGATGGATGGAGATTTCAGAAGTAATTACGTAAATCTGTTTAGTTTCTCACAAAAAAAATATTTAAAAAATTGTAGCGAAACATGCGTAGGAGTAACTTTACTTCTAACAGACTTTATCTGATAAATGAACAGTTTACTTGGGTTTGATAACTAAAGAGATAAAATTGGTGAATCTAGGTTCAGCACTTCCTGCTTATCTGTGCTGTATATCAATATTTGACTATTTAACTTCTGTTATCAGTTTTGCACCTCTAGGTTTCAGAAACTAAGTATGATTCGTGTTGCCTTTTGCCTGTGTGTGTTTGTGTGTGGGTGTGTGTGTGTGTTATCATAATCTTTTTAAATTAAAACTGCTTTATTTCTTCCAAGCATCCCTGTTACCTGGCAGCGAGATGCACTCTTGGTTGCGAGAATCCCACTGACAGTTTTGGTCCACAGCACAGCTCTTGCAGCTTGTTTTCTTGTTGCACACGTACGACGGGTTGTCCTTGGGGCAAACTTCATACTCGGCTATGGCCCCCTGAGAAAAGAAACCCGAAAACAACAGACATTAACACTTTGGACTCTAAACTGCAAAAACAATTACATTTCATGATGCGTAAATGATATTCATTCAGATGAAACAAAAACAACAAAACAAAAAAAAGGAAACATTTTTTATTAGTCACGCAGAATAAAGGGGAACAGATATGTGAGGACCAGACAGATCTTTTCAAATTCGTTCAAAAAGATTTGAACTTCAGATGCGCTGAAAAAAAAGAAGGAAAAAAAAGAAAGAAAATATCAAAGTCTTCTTTTTCCTACAACACAGCTATTTGAATTTAAATATTTGATTATTTAATAACTGAAGTCAGAGATATTGAGACTCATTTCTCACATATTGTGCAGATAAGAGTGCTGAAAGAGACATTTGAACTGTGCGAGTCTGCCGGCGGCTAACAGAGGAGTAATCTGATCATAGATTGACAAACCAGATCCAGCAAACATGAAAATGTTTCATTAGTTGTCACACAAAGCACTGAATTATGCTCAAGTCTATCCATTTAGTAGACATGGCTGATTATTTTAGTAACAGTATATTTGCTTGCACAGAAAGCCCGAGTCCTTTTTTTCTTATTAAACAAGAATTTTATCTTAGAAATGTTTCTTCTTTCTTCCCCCACATTACTTACATAAAACAATCCACTTACACGTTATATAAACCTTTAAATTAGCCTACATCTTACTGCTCAGGTCCCTAATGAAACACATTATATTATGTTATAAATATGGACTCACGACAAACTGTAAAAACCATTACTCGACATACCTGCTTCAATAAAAAGGAAGAAAATATTAATGTTGACCTTCTTATTATGAATAAATACATTGTGGTAATCATACAATGAAAGAATGGATGAAACGTTTTTACTTGTTGAAGCTGAGATTCCACCGCAGCACAGATCAGCATCACTATTTGATGAAAACACATTTTTGGGCTCCGCGAGTGCTGGGTTGAACTAAGTGCCTTAATTCCATATCGACAGTGACAGCATCACACAGCTGCTGTGAACCTCTTGTTCCACCTCACTCCAAAGATGTTCCATTGGACTGAGATCTGATGACTGCGGAGGCCGCTTGAGTACACTGGATTGAGATCATTTCAGGTTTGTGACATGGTGTGATACCCTGCTGGAAGCAGCCATCAGATGATGAGTACACTGTAGTCATAAAGGGACCACATCGTGTGCTCATGATTATAATCAGAAACCATACTCTGGTAAGGCTTTGGCATCCACACAATATTCACTTGCTATGAATGAACCTAAAGCGTGCCAAGAAAATATCAACAACACCATTACGCCACACCACCGTGGTTTTAACGGCTGGTTATTTGAGTTACTGTTGCTGTCCTATCAGATCGAAGCAGTGTGGCCACTGTTCTCTGGCCTCAGGCATCAACAAGGTATTTTTGCTCAAACTGCTGCTCACTTGATCTTATAAAAAAACAAACATGCCATTCAAAGTCCCTCAAATCACTCAAACACACTCACACGCTTACGCTCACTTTGAATTTCTGCAGGTCATTTTGATCATGTCTAAAATGCCTAAACGCATTGAGTAGCTTGCAGATATATTGGCGGACTAAGATGTTTGGATTACCTAGCAGCTGAACAGGTGCAGTGAGTGTACATTATAACAGAGCTGCAAGACGGAAAGGTGTGTGTAGGGTGCTACTGACCATCACAGAAAATCCCCAAAAAGGTTTGTTTGCACGCATACATGGAGCGTCCCATTCTGGAGCGTTGTTGCATGTTAGTGAGTGTAGACTCAAAAAAGTAATTTTCCATTAACATAATGTAACCACTCAGATTTATTTTGATTTCTTTTAAGGACACATGGGCTGGACTGAGACAGGCTTTATTTTTCCCTCTCGTGTGTGTTTTAAGATGAAGTAACCTTTGAAGAAAAATGAAAAAAGTTTGTGTAGTCCATTGAAAGCAACAAAAAGTTGCCAAAATTAGTGAAGCTGCACTGGAATTGGCTCCGAGAAACGATTGTGTGTGAGCATTCATTATTCTGTGCTTCAAAGAGCCTCCGACTGCTCGAGATCATAACAACACTACCTATTCATGCATTACAATAAGTTGCAAAATTGCACTCGGCTTGCGTGGCAACAAAATGTTAGTTGGCAATGTTTGCTGAAGTGAAAACACATCCACGCATGTAAACATCAGATTTTGAAGTTCTGCAGCATGTAGATAAACCACTGGTGTCCAACAAAACCATTACTTTGTGTGTTTAATGTTCAACAAAGTGTTTTTTTTCTCCCCCAAGCAATGAGGTGACTGCAGGCAGTAAGCCCAGCAGGGCCCTTCTCTACAACCTGATATATCCTGCTTTCTGGATCCTCCCAGGCTTATAAGAAGCACCTCTTCAGCTCCTATATGTAACAGAGTTAAATGTGATGTCCCCAGATGCTCTGGGCTGGGTGGAGAGCAAGTTTTCTTACCGATGCAGAGGTGCAGTTACTTCCAAGAGACACGCATTGGCTCGAACACCACTGGCAGCCGTTGGTGTTGGCGGTGCAACTGTAACAGTCGGTATACTGGTCACATCTCTCAGCATCACCGTCTGCAAAATGTAGAACAGGGTGCACATGATTTTTTTAATTTATAAGAACAGAGACAGAAATCTTCCAGTCAGTTCAAAAGTCAAAGCAACCAGTAACTCTGTTTCTGCCATTAACCACAGCTCAGTCAAAACATTTGCAGTCTTTTTCGGGGTATCCGGTGTTGACTGCCAGATCGCATCCCTTGTATTTAATGTGCCGGAAAGAGATGCCATGGAGCGGTTTCCATCTGCCAGCACTGCTGTAGAAGCAAGACCGGAAAATAAGACAGCCGTGTCGAGGAGAAAGGCGGATGTTTCTGGGTTTTCCTCTTTGTGTGACAACTGACAAACAAACGGAAGACAACTCTCAACAGGAACCAGAGAGAGAAGGCTGGACTGTCCTTCGTGATTACCTCACTGACACGCACGCTCACATGTAAGAAATTGTGTGTGGGTGCATCAGTGTCACGAGCGTTAGTGTTGGGGGATATGTCTGTGAAGGTTCTCAGTCATCCAGGTCATCGTAGTCAAAGGAGCTTGCAAAGAAAAGTGTCTGGACTTCTTTAAGTTACTTGAAGACGTCTTCAAGTAACTTCAAGTAAGTCCAGACGCTTTTCTTTGCAAGCTCCTTTGACAGTGTTGGGGGATGTTTATAATTAGAAATCAAAATGTAATAAAACCTCAATGCAATTAAAAACCAAACAAACTTGTTTGCACATCACCCAAAATGTAAACAAAAACAGAATCCAGGATTTTATTTCGTAGAGAAAACAGAAACCATAACGAGTGTTGAAACTGGGAAAATGTACTACTAAATATGAGCTAATTTTGAGCAGCAATACATCTTTAAAAAGTTGGAACGGAGGCAAAAAAAAAAAAAAGACTGGTAAAAAGTAAAAGTAAAAAAGTAAGTGGTCCTAAAATGAAACAGCCGGTGGGACATTTTGCAACTAATTAATTTAATTAGCACCAGGTCAATTCCTGTTTTTACTGCCAGAGTTTCTCAGAAGGTGGGCAGAGGTTCTCCAATTAGCAAAAAACTGTCAACAACAATTTCAGAATGTTCTCAACATAAGATTGTGAAGTCCTTGAATATCTCATCATCTACATAATATGCTTGCACTAGTGCACCAGTGGCCAGTCGTGCTCCTGTATGCATTTCCCCCAGTGGAAATAATATCTCTACTTCTAGAGAGAGTGAGTCGACAGCAGCTCTCTCTGATTCTAGTGGCCCCTTGATGGCCAACAAAGTCATGGCATGTGGATATAATGAGTCTTTTAGCACCAAGGCCTTGGCAGTTTCATCTCTGAAGGGACCTCCTCTCTCAGGTGGGAGGATAAGTGGTTCATCCGTGCCC